AAAGGGTAGTCACTCCTCACACTCCTGATTGGAAAACACAGTAAGGCAATGTCAGCTTAGGCATAAGTATCTTCTCTTACCTTGCCGGTCTTGTGGTCGAACCAAACCAGGGCATGATTTCTGGACAGCACCTTGCAGTCGAAGGTGGCGTTGTTCTGGGCCGGCCGACACCGAGCCACAGACCTGCCGATCTTGACTGGCTCATCCAGGTACACATGGCGCTCCTGGAATGGATGCGAGTTTGGTCGGCAGGCGAACACAGCCAACGCTGAAGGCATTGACTTTGGCTTTAGAGTGTTACTCCAACCAGACACGAGGGACAGGTTTTCTTGATCCAGATTGGCAGTCTTCTGTTGCAATCCCCAATGGATAAATGTACAATGTAGGCCGAACTGTTAGTCCTCTAAGTTCCTAGGCACTAACTAATAAACATTGTCCACTGTGCACAGCCCGGGCTGCACTGCCTTCCCTCTTCGATTCAACAAGACTCCCCTGTGTTTGAAACAAATGAAAATAAAAAACAAACCAACAGGTATAAAAAAGACAAGACATTCCTCTTACTGACTGTCCACCAAAGCTACATAACGATACTTATATATCTGACAGCACTATGTACAGACCAAGGTGCCATGTGTCACGACATACATGACTGAGTATAGCACTGACAGCCTGGAAAACAGCCTCCCACGTCCATCAAACTATTCCAGCACTGAACCAGGCGAGGGATTGGTGTTTAGCCCCCCCAATATAGCAACAGTTCACACTAGTAACCGTGACTACAAAATTAATTAGTTATCAATCCAGGAAGCTATATGCCTAGAATATTTTGGGAACAGTTAATATTATATTGCACTTTCTATGTGTTGTCTTGCAGCAAGCTAACAACGGGCACACACTTCAATGTGCAGTCGGTTTACACAATTTTAGTAATGTGTCATGTTAAATCTATTCGTCATTTACAGCCGTAATCAGAGTGACATTGTTGCACTGATACAGGGAACCTTAGCTAGCTACCTAACGTTACCACTCCCTCCACAGAACACCTATAAGGTCGCTAACAACACCTAGCAAGAGTAAACGCCAAAAACACCCCTGAGTTTTTAAACATTAACGGCAATTCGGCCAACTAAATCAGCCCAGTGTCCACTTCTAGTCTAATTTGGTAAGTGAAAGAGGCTTCAAAACACTCAGCCGGGATGAGCGGGGGATTAGCAGGTCTTCTTGTGCAACTAAAATGCTAATTGGCTAGCTCGCTAGTGGACAGGCAAATCGCTCACTCGGCCAACGTTTTCTGGCGTTGTACCAACAAGCTAGGATAGGCTAGGCTAGGCTAATGAGTGCTGACAAACTTTATCAACCAGGTCTTCAAATGTGTTTCCCCCACAAGACTCAATCAGTTCGCTTACCGGATGGAGGCGAAATGCCATCCCTTTCTCCTGGAGCAAATATAAGCAGCAAGCTAGCCCGCCTTTTGGCTACTACGGAGCCCTGCAAGCGAACGTTAGCATTAAGGTGGTGAGCTAACTGAGCAGCTAGCCGGCTAACTGACAGTCAGACGCGGAAAAATCAGGGGAGTTTCTTGACTGCGGGTCCTCCTCACTCATCACACACCAGCCCGATTATCATCCAGGAAAAAACTCCGTTAAAGCCACAAGTTGCGCCGTCGTCGTCCGTGTTTGCCAATATATTTGTTAAGTTAAAGTCGTTGCCTTCCCACTGTTTTCGGGAAGGAATCTAGAAGAAGTTGTCCTCCTCCACAAGTCCCAGCCGCCATACTGTAACTAGAGAGCAGGCAGGCGGGGTGCGTTCACGGCCCGAGTCACATCAACTCCACTCTCCGACCGCTGAGCTCATTAATCAGGGACCCACAGCGTTGGGTCCGGGGACCTCCAGGGGTCTCTGGCCCTCTGCCAGGGGGCCCGTGAAAAGTATACCGATTCATTATATAAGTATAAGATATCAAATCATTGTTTTCTTCCTCTTCAAAGTTCAACATACTGTATATGTATTTTTTATTTTGTCGTAATGGAAAATAGTTTTAGACTTGATTTTACTGACTTTTCTGTATATTCAGATTTATTGTGAACATGTCATGTTATTATTTTTGTAATAGTTTTATATTTGTTCAAAATGTGCTTTTTTTATGTCATTATGTATGCACAATTATACACAAATTCCTCGTTTAAACCTGATTCTGATTAAATCACGTTCTTGTCAACCAAATTGTATATTTTTTTAATTAATTGAATCCATTCATCTTAAGCCATTGAGTGTTGGGGCTATGTATTTATGATTTTCTTTTTTTGCTATAGTGAGTTTTAAAAAGTTGTAATCTTGTATGCCATTTGAACAGTGGGATTTGCATTTTACAGTCCCTGCAACACCCCAAATCATTTGTTACTAATATGGAAATATTAGTTAAACAAATAACTTCATAATTGAATCAGTAATACGTTTGAGATCCCATAGTCTTGATTTTACATCAAATTAAAGTTAATTTGGCTTAACAGACTCTATGAACGCTATCGAAGGCTATTTTTGCCACCAAATAAAATGAAAGTATTAAAAAGAAAAAAATCATAATTTCAAATACCAGGATATTTGGAAAGTTAACTTACAGTAGTAACTAAATTAAAAGCAGTTTTCCTGTTCTGTTGATCTGGGATATCTATAACAACTGTGTTTCAAAGTAGGCATAGTGATTTAGGCTTCCACTTGTTTCTAAATATTCAGGGAGGGTAACTTTAAAAACTGTATCGATTGCTTTGTTGCGGCACTTTTTCTAGTTTGGTTTTAACATTTAAACACAAAACTGCAGCTTTCCAGTAATGAGAAGGCCAACTATTTCCACTCCCACTATTGTGAGGTTTTTGTCCAGGTGACTTGATATACGGTCTGGGACAGAAGGGTGGGGTGGAGTGACGTGTGAGGGGATCAAATTCTGCTTATGGCTAAAGAAAAGTCCCTGCTGTGTTCTGGTGAACCGACAGCTGAGACCAAATCAATGCTGCATGAGACAGTAGGGAGAGAAGTATGGGAGGATAAACACCACAAGGCAACTGCGTAACTGCTCATTTATTTAATTCAGTCATTTTGAACAGCAAATAAAACATTCATATTTAATTGTTACGGTTTAAGTTTTGTGCAACAAGTTTTCCACTCAATTTTGGCACAGATTAAACAAAGTACATAACTTGATGTTCTCATGCAAGAGAGACTTTCCTCTTTACAATTATCTGGTGTAATAAGAATATCATTGAGATTATTTGATGATGAAAACAAAATCATTATGGTTTCAGTTAGCCTAACTGTCGGTGCAGTCTTTCAAGTTAGTCAGGAAGGAATACAAAATTATTCTGGCAGTTAAGTTTTGTTCAGAATTTCTTCATGTTTTTCACAAAATGTAGTTAATTTGGATTGCTGCCAAGCGCCGCCATTGCGGGAATTGATCTCACAATCTTGGCAGAGAGGCAGAGACTGGAATTATCCGAAATGTCTTAATTTTTGCTTCTCTCATGTTAAAATTCATGCAGGTAAATATTGCCTTAAAATAAAATGAATGTAATAGTATTAACATAAGTTGTGATCAGACTTACTATTCTTTCTCATTTTGTGAACATTTAAAGGAAATATAATATTTTGGGAAATATGTTTTTTTTTTTTATAATTTAGTTTTTACAGCATAGACCTTTTTTATTATTCCTATTTCATAATTTGTGAATATATAAGCAACAACTGTAAAAGACAAAATAAAAAGGCAAACTTTAAAAAAATACTTTTTAAGTGCACAGTTAATTGATTTCCATTAGATACACATTTTATAAAATACAAAAATCTTGAATGATTGGATTTCTTAACAAGCTGTTAGCTTAACATAAAGACTGGAAACCGCTGGCCCAGCAGAAAACTCCCAGCACATCTCAAGCTAACTATCACCTTATATCTTGATTGTTTAATCCTTAAATAGACAATGTTGCTCCTGTTCCTGGTCCAGATTTTAGTACTGGTCCTGGTATTGATTCTGGTTCGAATCCTTGCAGCCAGGCCCTCCTGCAGAGCAAGCAGGGGGCCAGCTGTCACTGTGCTAACACTGACTATTATTTGAGATTTAACAGCATCTTACTGTGTTTAGCTGCTTAGCCCCGTCTGACATCACATCGTTTGACAAGTGAAAAGCGCATCACAAAAAAATGTAATCCATTCAAAACCTATTTTAAAACATTTGTTATAAAGGCAGTAGTTTGTATAATGTACTTCTGTTTGCTATTCTACTTCAGCTTCATATGAAGCACTTTGTAACACAAAGTGAAAAGTTAAAAGTGTTTTTTTTCCGTATATAAACAAATGTATTGTTGAATTGTATGAATCTATTAATATATACTGTATAGTTTATTGTGATTTCAACAATGAATTCAATTGTTTTAATTGGATCGGGGTATAAAAACCAAAAAAGCATCAGAACTATACAGAATAATATACATAACTAGTTAAATACAAGTTGGTATAATTATTACTAAAGGTATGCTGTAAAACTGTATTACTAATTTAGAAAATAATTGTGACATTTCTGAATGTTTCTATGTTTTTTTTATATATGAACTCCCCCAGACAAGCTACAACTGCATTTCGTTGTAAGCTATAGCCCTGTGTTGCATAATGGCAATAGATTCTCTCTAAATCTTTCAATCCTCTTACTTAAAAAGTGGATTTATGTCACAAGTGTAGGGTTAACAGGGGGTCTACCCCTCCCTCCTTAGAGCATCCACACCCTGTTTCATCTGTTTGTTCAGTGATAGAGTAGAGATATTAAAGGATTTAGAAAAAGCTGCTTTACTGCTTTTTTCCTGACTTGGACTAAGATTTGGACTGTAAAGTAATTAATTTGATTACGTCATTCACAATCATTGTTAAAGATCTGAACAATTTACATGCATCAGATTGGTTGTAAATAACATATGATAGTTAAACATGAACACAAGGTAAGTGAGAACCACAATTGACTTGTGTAGTACTTTTAATCATTGTTCATTGGTCAATCATTGGTCATAATAGTCCATCATACTTAACGTTTACTGACATTAATTACATTGAAGTTTACTTCTTGTTCTTATTTTTTTTACACATTTTAAATCTTTATCGAAAACTACACGTTTTTTGATGAATATATTGGTGGGATTAATATGCACAATTTTGTTATGTGTATTGTAATATGAAAGGGGTGAATACAGTATTCCATCGTCTGCGGTTGACTTGAATACAACACAGTGCCAGGGACGGCTTTACGTGATGACGTTTCACGTTTCATTCTCAAGTCCTACGTACGCTCACTATGCTACTATGCTAAGCGCTAGCTGAGAAGCTACTTTCTGTAGCTCTGCTTGTTGTTGTCACCTGAGGAGACGCTAACTAAACATACCAATCTTAACTAACTTATCCAAGGCGTTCATATTCTCCGGAGCGTCTGAGTGTCCGTGTGGGGCCGTAGTCATGGCTCTCCAAGGCCCAGAAGAGCTGGGGGAGCAGGTCGAAGAGCCGGAGGATCTGGACGACCAGGACGCTAGTAGCATCTCCCCGGCCGAGGAGATAACCATGCCCAGCGGGCCTGGGGGCGACGACGAGCCGGAGGAGGCTCTCCTGCTACCCTGGGACCGCTTCTCCGCCTGGCTACACTGCATTTGCGTTGTTGGCTTCGACCTGGAGCTGGGACAGGCAGTGGAGGTGAGCCACAATGATCCGCGTCACGTAAAACTCCTAATAGTGGTGTTGCTAAAAAAAAATACTCAAGTTAGCAGTTATTTAAGGCCTTGACTATTCACTGGATTGCCACACGAAGATATCTACATGAAGCTGTTTGTTTAGTTCTCTGTGTTGTCCTTTTTAGCTCTAACACTGCTGACATGCACACACAGATGTAGAATAGTAGCTTCACTGCAAGATACCAAGTCTGTTAACTGATATAGTTTCTCGTAGCTGGTTGTGAGTAAATTGTGAGTGCTATCTTCTCAGGAGTCAGTCTACTCCAACAACATCAGCTCTGCTACTATCTCACGTTGAGCATTTTAGTGAAACTCTTCCTCTCTTTTCACTCACTTTAAACTTATTCACAGCTTAATTTCGGGGAGTTGAGCAACGCATCTCTGTCATGAAGGGTTTACATTCAACACACCAAACACCCGTTGTCGTCACAGGTGTTTGGGATGCAGAAGAAATACAAAATACTGCATGTGTTAACAAGGTTAGACAGTGACCTGGTTTCAGGCTCCTGCAAGTCTTTCTGTTTCGCTTTCTCTTGTGTAACTAGTAACATAAATACTCCACAACTTTTTTTTGTTGCCTTTTTATTTATTTATTGTGTAGTTGTGGTCTTGGCATAGAGTGCAAATAAAGAATGTATTCTATAATGTCAGCAAATTGTGAAAAACTATTCCAAGCTCAAGTTTCCAGAGGCTAAGGGTTCTAGTTTTTGGATAAAAAAACAAAACTTATTCAGGTAACACACTAATGCTGTTTATTTTTCTCACGATAGAATAATCAAGTTACCCAGAGGGAGTCAACAAAAGTACTCCTTTGACCTAACATTTTGACTTTTATTACTTCACATATTCCAAAACTCTGTGCTTTATACACATTTCAGTGATACTGATATTCTGTACAAACTGTGAAGTCCACTGAGACAAATGTAACATTTGTGATATTGGGCTATATAAATAAACATTGATTGATTGATTGATTGATTGATTGAAGCCATAATGCTGTAAATATCGCGTCATCTAGATATTTATGTTATTCTGAAATGTAAGGTGCATTAATCACTTATAATTCATTTATTAAACAATTGACATCCCCTTTAAAAATGTTACACTGTAGTGACGTGCGGTGAGGTTCATGGCTGGTGAGGCACTGACTCTTTCAGAGTCAGATTTACAAATATTATATTTTGACCTTAATCGAAATAGTCTGATGCTTCAATTCATTTTAAACAGACCGTTCAAAAAAAGGATACCCAACATCTAAATATTGGATTGTTCTTTCTTAGTAAGATCCCATTTTCATTACAATTGTGGTCTTACCTTGACTTGAAGATGAAGTCCATGCTATCCTTCTGGACAACAATCTCTATTACTTTTTTGTAAAATTCCTCCTTATCTTCCTGTAATTTGAAAAGTCTAGTTGTTTGTGTCTACCGTCTCTGCGTAGAATAACAGTAGCAACAAGAACCTGTGGGCTCATGTGCGCCCCCTTCCGTGCGGCAGAGGTTATGGCTGCCTCTCCTGGTGCTTTTTTCATTGCCGTTGTATGGTGAGACTAGCGAGCCTAAATATCATTTTAGGCTTACGGGAGGCAGAGCTCGTCCCTGCCTCACTTCTCATCGCTACCCGTAGTTGTAGCAGAGCTCGGCAAATTTGCTGATTTTGACTTTAAAAAGCGATTGGAATCATACATAAAGCACATTTACAACACAGATCAGTGGAGACATTTTATTATTATTACTATTTAGTTTTTCTTTAGTTGTTTTTCCATTACATTGGAGTATGACAGGTGAGGCTCTGCTTCCCCTGACCGCACGTCGTAGAAGGCAACATGTGTATTGTAGTATGGTGACAAATCAAGCGCAACACAATGGAAGTAACAGAGAGTCAATTACCTGGTGACATTTTTAAATACAATAAAAAAAAAAATTAAAAAGATGTCCTAGTTTTTAAACCTGTAATGAGAATGTGCTGTTTTGTTTAGCAAAGTTGAACACTGTTTTTAGATGTGGGTTGTTAACTTTGATAATCTGTCTTTCAGGTTATCTATCCTCATCACTCCAAACTGTCAGAGAAAGAGGTGAGTCACATTGATAAGCAAGGAACACTTAATACCAGAAGTTTCTTTGTTTGTAATATATTTGTTCATACCGATCATCATTGTTCCTTTACTGTTTACTTTATGTGTCCCTGAATCAACCCGAGATGAATTTATTAAAATAATTTAAATTAACGAAATAATGTATTTTTCAGAAAACAAGCATCTGCTACCTTTCCTTTCCTGACTCCAACTCAGGTGAGTTCCTGCTTCAGCCTTTTAAACTTGTGTCTCTGTACTCAGCAGTACAATCAGGTCACTGTGGAGACTTTGCCTTAACTTTATGATGACGTGTCAGATTAAAGAACGGTTATGTACGTTCCTGGGAATAGACACACTCTTATGTCGACATAAGACAGAAAAATATTCAACTCATCTTTTAAGTTTTGGAATAAAGGCCGTACAGTAGAGTCGGTCCCCCTTTTAAGAAATGCATAGTGTTGTATTTCTTATAAAGCTTGAGAGGGAACATTAAACGCTGGTTACTTTTTCACTGTCCACACTTCTGACCAATCGGTGCCTAAATGTTGAATTGTTAGTTTTCATAAAGTTACAGAAATTGTGAAACACCCACCTAAAAGAACATCAAGGTGGTTTCAGGTTGTCAAGCTGGTGACCTTTAACCTTTCCAAACAGATGGAGCGAACCACACAACATACTGTTGACCAAGATTATGCAGCAGGGCTAATCATTTCTAATCTTGCAAATGTGATTCTGGATGAGATCGTCTTGTCTCTGGCACAAAACCTAGGAGCTCTGGCTTCAGCAGTCACCTTTTCATTTCAATTATTTTGAACAATCAAATTACCTTTGATTTATACAGGCCAAAATAACAAATATTTTTTAGAGGGCTGTACAGACTGTAAGGGATGGGACACCCTCTGTCCCTAAACCTGGCAGCCCACAAGGTAATCTCCCAAAGAAACCCCACAATTAAGCGGGAAAAATGGGTAGAAACCGCAACAGATGTGGTGTTACGGAAAAAACAACATTAAAATGACATTCCAAATGAGAACGTAAAGGAATATATCTTGAAATTGATGATGTTTGTGGTGTCAGCTAGTCAGAGGCCACTTTGAAAATTGTCATGAGTGTAACACTAGACTGTAGAAAAACTTGTTGAGGGATTAGTTTACACACAAACTCTCTTTGGGATGGTGTGTGTTAGAGAGAGAGAGAGAGACACTTTTTTTTTACTTCATCAGAGCTGCCATCATTTGTGTTCAGTCCACTTGACTGTTGTCACTGTAGGGAGAAGATACAACATTCAGAGTATTCAGAAAGAAGAGGTGGCAAAACAGCAGACTCTACAACGGCTCTACTCTTTGGGTGTTTACATTCACATATACATAAGGTTGTAATAACATATTGATACAACTGGAAATTACTTTGTGAAAATGTTGATAATCACTTGGAACCATGCAAAACATGTATGTTTCCAGCACCTCAATTGAGATTGCCCTTGCTGCTTTACACTGTTACATGACGATACACTGAAAATCAATATATAGAACAATACCAAAAGTACTTGTGAATATAAAATTCATGATCATTTATATTGTTAGATTATAAATAGTGCTTTATAGCCACTTTATTAACCAATTGGACATATTGTGATTTGTGAAAAGGAAAGGCCAGAATTATTTTTTACCTATAGGCTTTTCCTACTGTGTTGATAAAGTATATGTTTCTTCTCTTCACTGCGTCGTCACAGTGGACAGTGCTGGAAGGGTTACAGGGTTACACATACAAAAACGCATACATACAAGCAAGAGCATTTACAGTCGCTGGAGAAAATGCAGTCTGAATGGAGCAGTGGTTCAGTGGCTTGTTTCAACCTGGGTGGTCCCAAACGCAACCTGATGATGTCATGGAGTCTTTTCTGAGCTCTAGGAAGTGTGTGTGAGTGTGTGCGTGTAGTGGAATGCTTTAAAGTGTGGGCTGAAGTGTTTGTGCGGGTCTTGTTATTTTAAACTCATATTTTCTCTCTGTATCTCTTCTGCTGTGTCTGCTGGAGGATGTGCGAAGGTCATGTGGGGGTTAAAGGCTGCTCAACGACTCATTGGGCACTTCCTATTTCCTCCTTCTTTCCACCTCCCTCTAACTGTTTTTCCAAATATCAGGAAGAAACCAGAAGGACACTGATACGAGCTGACTGGTGCACATTTAATATCACAGAAAAATACATTTATATAAACTCTGGAAACAATGCAATAATAATAAAAGGTTGACTATATACTTAATACATCGACTTTCAAAGTGAATTATTTCCTCTTTTCAACAGGAAATAGAGAGAGAATCATTCTGAATCAAAAATAAATCGGTAGTCTTTGGAAATGGAACTGATTCAACACAAGATAAAGGAAGACCAATATAGAATGTTTACCATAGAAAATTGAATTAATGTTAATTTTCCCCAAAGTTTGTGTTCAATTACTAAGTATATAATTTATGTTAATGCCGACATGTTTTTTAATTCTAACTCTCAATACAAAGTTCACAAGTGTCTGACTTTTTTTTTTAATATTCTCCGCATCTTGTTGGCAAATGCACAAATATAAAAGAAAATAAAGAAGACCAATAAATAATGTATTTTTGCTTAACCTGAATGACTTTAATGGCCTATGTTTATGCATGCTTAAATGAATAATTACATGTAGAGATATTAAAATACATTGTATACAAAATATTTAAATGCTAATAAGTTTCTTATCCTACTCTAATCCGGGCAGTTCGATCCCATGGTAACCAGTTCACTCTCCTGTGTGCACAGGTTGCCTTGGCGACACCCAGTTTTGCTTCCGATTTCGTCAGGGTTCCAACAGGAAGTCATCGCTTGGCGTCTTCCTTGAAACCACCGACCGGGACGCACCGCCCTGTCTGAAGGTTGGACACACAGGAAACATGCAGCTATGCATACACCTGAATCCTCTGGTTTAGTGATGTCACACTCATTCTGTGTGTGTATCTGTGTGTGTGTTGCAGAGGGAGCAGGGCCATTACTATGGTTACGTGTACTTCCGTCAGGTGCGAGACAAATCCCTGAAGAGAGGATACTTCCAGAAGGTGAGCGCCAATATGTTAAAAGACACTACAATCCAATTAACAGTTGAGTGCAGTCTAGAAATAGGGAATTCACTTGAACAATGAAATGATGTGGTCAAGATCACCAGAGGCCAGATAAAAATTGCCTACACACCTGAAAATATGTTTGCTTTAGTCATAAGGTGCACATTTGGTTTGCCTATCTTCCCCTCTATATTGAAGTTCTAGGATTTAAGAAAATACCTGATGTAAATGAGTGTGTGAAGGAGAAAAGTGAAAGGAAACTGTTAAAAACCAAATGACATGTTTTTAGAAGCTCCCAGCTGATGTAATCGTTCATTAACTAGTTAATTCAACATCCTAAAGTGCTGCTTACAAGTAAACTAGCATGCTTCACAGTTAAAGATTCTGTTGTTAAAATAAGATGGTTATAGTACCATATAGAATGTTCTCGTTACCTACTATATCCATTTCAAGACATACGTGTTGTTTTCCCCTCCTCCAGTCTCTGGTCCTGATCAGTAAGCTGCCCTACGTCACCTTCTTCCACTCGCTGCTGAAGATCATGGCTCCAGAATACTTTGAGAAACAGGAACCTTGTCTGGAGGCTGGTCAGTCTGCTTGTCTGTCTCCGCCTTAATGTTTTAAACAAGATAAACTCAATATTTGAATAATCCCTATAAGGGAAAATCAGGTTTAAAAGCAGCAAGCCCAATTAAACATCATCTCATTTTTCTCCATGCAACTTTCTTTGTAACTAAACTCTTAAGAAGTGATGCAGAAAACTCACTAAACAATTTTTTAAAAGGCTTTTAACTAAATCTAAACTGCATTACTTGAAGCTAAGTGTACCTAATAAACTGAGAGTATATTAACCTTGTTTTACTTTTAGTAAAGCAGATTCATGTTTCAAGTGTATTCTGATTCAGATGGCTGTTGTTTGTGTATTGATTGACAGCTTGCAACGACATGGACCGCTGGCCAACACCCCATCCTGGAAGAATACTCACACTTCCGATTATGGGCGTGGTCATCAAGGTACACACACACTCACTCACTCACTCACTCACTCACTCACAATCAACAGGTGGAGGTGAGTCAGTGGGTGTTTCTCAATCACGAGTACGCTTTCTTGGTAGCACATGTCTTCCGAGCGCCTTGCTTCAGAAGCAAGGTAAGAATACTTCCTGGCATTCGGAAAACAAAAAGTGGAACAGGCTAGCAAGTGTGCAGGTGTGCGTCATATGAGAGGCCCCGCCTTACATTTTCCGCCACAGATTTGGGGAAATTGGTCCGTGCGCAAAGTCTACACACGTGCAGCCTCGAAAATGTCTCCAAACGAAGTACGCTGGGCTCGGTAGAATTCCAAGTATGCTGGACATTGGAACAGTCCTTTGGCGGCACTCTATGACGTAGTATGCTTGAATTAGTGGCTCTGGAGCAGCTTTACTCGAGAAACACCCTGTGTGACTGCTCACAGCAGATAAGGCTCAGGCGGTGCAGCACCTTCCATTAGCAGCTATTATTCATGGAATGAGTGACACCTGAGTTTGGGAGGTCAGCATGTCCTTTATAGGAAAAGTGTATGGTTTTATTTGACAGAGACATTGGAGGCTTGCGGAAGCTTTAATCCTGCACATCTGATGGGTTTTTATTTATCTTTTCAGCTTTATTTATTTTTTACTTCATAGGTTAGTTGTTACAGTATTTTATTTTATCTTTCATTTTATCTTTTGCAACTCTGTGTTTTACTTTATATTATATTCACATATTTAAGCTGCAGCACTATTTTTCTCATGTGTACTTTATTTATTTCATCATTTTAGTTTTGTATCTTCTTTTATCTTTTGTATATAATTGATTAATTAACTTGTTTTCATATGTTTTTAGCTGCTGCATTATTTGTATTATTTATATTTATTTGACTTTACTATTATATGGTGTAGTTGATACACATTTTTACGCTTAGAAAAGTCAAAAAATATTTTGTTCCCCTAAAGATATTTTATATTCTTATATATTTGTATATTCTATAAGATGATTTAGCGACTACTTCACAGTAATTGTTGTTGACATGACAATAGAAATTAACATTTTGAGTGTCCAACTAAAAAAATAAATAAACCACAAGCAGTCGATATTCTTAATATGAATGAGTTAAAATGGATGATAATTGTTCAAACTAACACTGTGAATCTGTGTTTTGCCGCAGGTTCGCATCCCGACCTCTTACGACAAACCAGGAACATCCCAGTTGGTCCAGTCCGCCCAGGTGATCGATCGATCGCACACGCACACACGTTCAACACATGTATTTAGTTGGGTATTATTTTCAGCATGAAGTGTGTACACATTAATTGAACACATGATTATTTCCACTGACAGAGAGTGTGTCTGTGTTTTCAGAGTGACAGTCAGGTGTCCATCGTGCTCCCAACCATCCATGAGGTCGACCTCTTCAGGTGAGTCACTCTGTTTATCAACCACATATGCTTGTGATTAAGCCTGTACTGAATGTAATTTTTTTACATTCAAAGCTTCTATTGAGGTTTTTAAATCGAATCGCAAATCTCTATTGTAATATTTTACGATATCATCATTAAAAAAATGTAAGTCTAAAGAAAAAATCCCACTCCAGGAATCTAATTAGACAAATATATACATATATGCAGAAATAGTGGAATGCAAAAAGTGAAATATTAAATATTACAGTAAATAGCACAGTGTTGAGTTTCTGAAGCTTCCTAGTGTCTACAAGACAGCGATTGCTAAGAAATGGATGAATGAGTCTACTAAACGTCATTACACTGAATACAAGTCTGATTTAGCTTAGTGGTGGAGATGTGAAGTCATGTGGCCGTGGTAATTGTTTATAGCTGTTAGTTACAAAACGTGTATCAGGTGTCATGAACGTGTGTTTGCCTCAGAGCTTATATTCTGCAGTAATCTAAAAGGAAGCTTTGTTTAGCACACTCTAAATCTCTCTTTCTCTCTCCAGATGTTTCTACCCGGTCTTCTTCCACATACAGATGCTGTGGGAGTTGGTGTTGCTGGGGGAGGCCCTTGTTGTCATGGCGCCGTCGCCTGCAGAGTCGTCGGATACCGTGCTCGCATTGGTCAGGTGAGTCAGCCGAGTTTACAAGCAGGTCATAGTGCGAGCAGATATAGATGCTCTGCATTTAACAGCACATTTGAGGTTATAATGAATTCAATGGAATATGTTTTCTGGGTCTCTGCCCCTACCAATGTTCTCTTTAAAGGGTTGTGTTGCTAACAAGACAAATGGAGCATGTCATTATTTGTCTGAAAAGGCCTTTTCATGTCAAAATGTTGGTAAGATATGTGGCCAATATTTACTTTGGTGACTGGGGTGAGAGAATCTGTCATCATCTGCGTTAACATGTCGCACTGGAGTGAAAGGACTCAAATCTACACATCTAATATCAGAATCAGAATTATTGTATTCGTCCTACTGAGAGAAAATGTACATTGTAAGCAGAAATATAAAAACACTATTAAATAAAAGGCTGGCCCATAATAGTAAAAAGAAAATGACACAATTACAATACATTTTCATGGTAGAGAAAGAAAGTATAGAAAGATAGTAGAAAGTAGCAGCATAAGTAAATTGCATATTTATAAAAAAAATAATAATTAAGATATACCTCTCTCTCTCTCTCTCTCTCTCTCTGCAGCTGCATCTCTCCTCTGCGTTATAGCAGCGACTTCCGGCCGTACTTCACCATCCACGACAGCGAATTTAAAGAGTACACCACGAGGACGCAGGCTCCGTGAGTAAAGCCGAGCACAGCAGTCTACATCTGACATCTGCTGAACTACTTTAAAGCAGATCATTCATCATCAGCTTTATATTTGAATGTTTTTACTGATCAATCAACCAGTGTTTGTCACTTTGTTAAAATATGTCAACAGTCAGAAATTGGACTTTAAATTACAGAAAACACTAACACTCTGTAAAGATCTAAAATCATAATTGGTCTCACCTCCTGAAAATGTAAGTTTGTAGGAACTAAACTGTCTCCTTGCTCCTGTATTTGTTTATACATATGTGTTAGTCTATTTCTAAGTTAAGAATTGCACATCTTCACTCTCTATTTCTACAGGCCGTCAGTCATTCTGGGAGTGACCAATCCCTTCTTTGCTAAAACGTTGCAGCACTGGCCGCACATCATCCGCATCGGAGACATGAAGCAAGCAGGTAGATGAATCTGCTGCCAGTCAAACGTGGTGTTTGTCTTTTAATGAATAAAAGAGAAATGGCATGAGCTTCAAATATATAATAATATTATATTAATAATATAATATTGCAGTCCGCTACAACAGAACCTTTAGCCCAGGGGTGTCAAACTTAAATACACAGTGGGCCAAAATAAAAAAATCATTATTGGTCGAGGGCCGGACTGGTTCAATGTTTATTGCAAAACTTATTGCACATATTAAACCTGGAACTAACAAAGCTTAAATTATTATAATTTAAGCTTTGTTAGTTCCAGGTTTAATATGTGCAATAAGTTTTGCAATAAACATTGAACCAGTCCGGCCCTCGACCAATAATGATTTTTTTATTNTATATATGTTTGTACAGAGACTTCACAAAACCGAGGTGTTATGGTTTGTCTAGTAACGTCGTAGGGTATTAGGGGAGACAAAGTCGGGACAAGTTTCACGACTAGAGACAGACAATGAAATCTACTTATTATTCTCCGGTACGGGGTGTGGGGAGACTCTCGTAATAAACCAATTTTTCTTGTGTTATCGGCGAAAGTTTGGTTCATGAAAGGCATGAATCACGGGGCCGCTGAATCACGACGGGTGCCGTTTTTTTGAATTAGCACAAGTGTGGCCTTATTCAAGGGACTCCCTTCTAATGCGTTTACTCGTGACTGGCTAGTGAAGCAGAAGAAACCCAAATAGACCGTCGGCGTTTGTTGAAGTGTCGCATATGACGGCGCGGCTTTAGGGGCCGGCCTTCAGGGGCTCAACCCCCTGACCGGTGGCGAAGGGTACAAAAAAAAACACAAACCGGTATTCAATAAAAGAGAGGCAACGCACGCGCCCCGATACGATTGCGATTATTACGATTACGGTGTTATGGTTACCGCGAAGTGTTTTTGTAAAGTCTCAAAATGTCCCGCACCCAAACGTAAGCGGGTCGGTATCTGGTAACATGACAAAAATGGTGGAGAGAACGTCCGTGATTTTTACCCCCATTTTCAAGGGCCGTGATTCACGAGAAAAGACCACACGTTGCGGTTTTTTTTTCCCATGATCTGCCTTGATTTGCCCTTTTTCAATAGCCCCTTTTATGAGACCGCACTTGCGCGGATCTACCACTAGATCCTCCCTCTAAGTCCCACTATTCCACAACACATACACACACACACACCCCAATGGAACCAACCACTAACCGATTACCAATGTGTTCGGTTTTTTAGCAACTGTAGTATTTCACCGGTTTTAGACTAGTCGAGCTAAAAAGTCTGTCCAAAAAATATATTTACCTGAGTCCTGTTTTTCTCTCTCTTAGAAAAAAGGACTTTGAAGTCATTGGAAGAAATGTAATCTCCCTGTGTACAATACATATTTCTGTCGTACTTGTTCACCTAAAACGTATTTCCAGGGGAAATTCACAATTTTTCGTAGTCATTATAATAAGTTAAGTATAAGTAATAATATATTATTATATTCCCGTTGGTCTTAACACTCTTGTAGATCTGTATGTTTTTTTTTACCTTGCCAATTATTGGTAGTTGGTCAACATAGACGATAAACCCGGCGAGTTACATGTGATAACATAAACACTGGGTATTTGATAGCTTCTTCTGGTAAGACAGTTTGTTTACGGAAGGAATTTATGGGAATTCAATAACCTACGATTGTGCATCCGAACAATTGATCAAAACTGTAGTGTACATCGTTATAAAATGTGACACCATAATAATATTGAAATCCGAACTCATCTTTTCTAGACAACACAAGTAACACCATGACCAAGAACATTAAGGCTGAAAACGGATCCCGGACTTACGTAGCTGGTCCAGCAGTACGTTTGACGATGAGCGAATTACATTGGTGTAGCCCCACATTTGTAGTGGTCCCACACTGTCCAGTAGACCTCCTCTTTTTGATTGCAGTCTACGTGTATAATAATTAGGTTCCATTCTCAATTACTATAGTTGTTGTTTTTTCGCGATGGAAATTTGGCTCATTTTGGTGTTGGGTACCTTCGACAATCTGGGAAACTGACAACACAATATAGTCACACAATTTAGTCATTACCTGCGCTTCTGTATTGGGTGGCACGTCGTCTGTTTCTCAAATTGTTCGTTCTCGTGGGTCTGTCTCTGGGCCCGCCTCGATGATTTTTGGGGTCCGTCACTACAAAACTAGCCAAACAACAAATCGCCCCAATCGTACGACGGAATAGAAGCCAATGTGTGAAACCCTAGTCAAACAACAAGACGATTCGATTGTGTCGCGCCTCCTGTGACACACTGTAACGTGCCAAAGGCGAACGGAAGCTGGTTGGTGACGTATTGTTGCTAGTTAGCGGCCCGCATTAAGAGCGGCATTGTACGCGGTACACCGGAACCGAATTACGAAGGCCAACACTCTTAAACGTAGCCGCACTGCAATACTGTCTCTTTCAGGAGCCCAAAACACCCCAATGCTACGACTGGCGAGTCACCACTGCTAATGGTCGACGGTATCTTTCGACATCAGTAACGGATCAGAGACGGACATTTGAGAGGGAGAAAGGGGATACAGCGTATTGTATCTTCACTCAGCTGTATTCCATCAAGGACTCCTATACCCAAAGAAATTACGTCGTACACATTATATGTAGGTCGACCGGTGTCGGGAGGGTGCGTACAGAAGCGTACGCTAGTCGGTGGTCCAGACCGACGCAAACACTGTTCATGGAAAGAAATTACCACAATGTTATCGACCAGAGACGCGCGCACCTCCCGTGTCAGATTCTCTTTATTTGGCGAAGCGGGATAACGGTAGGGACGCGCTGTACCAGGAAGCTAAATAAAGACAGACTCTACATCAACTTAATACGAAAAACATTTGATCCTTACGTCTGTAACGGTGAGACATAATATTGAAGAACAGTGTAATAGGGGATTCATTTTAAAGGTGACCTATCATGCAAAATGCACTTTTGTACGTCTTTTATACATGAACATGTGTCCCCGGTGTTCCAGGGAACTCACCAAGTGTCAGAAAACACAACCCTCTCTATTTTCCTCCATACCCAAATCTCTTAAAAAGGGGCTGCAACGGATCTGATACTGGCTGATCCAGATTTGAACACTTCTATGACATCACAGAAGTGGCGCTACGGCTATTGGGCCAACTCCACCAATCAGGAGGAGACAGCCACGGACATTGCCGTTCGAAAGCGCTGGAGACGCTGTAGTACATATGCCAGGCCTGTAGATGGTGCTGTTCTCACAGAATCAGCCTGCAAAGACAGTGTTGAATTGAGCGAAATGAGGAATGGCTAAAATGTATGATCTGTTTGGTATTTTGAAAAATAGAAAGTATAAATATGCCTTATATAGGTATGGTCCTACACTATATTATTCAAATATAGCATGATAGCAGCTGGTGAAAGTGGAAACTACTGTTGGAGAGTTCAATCTGGAGCACAGTATCATATTTGATAAACTGTTCCCTTTTTTGTTAGTGTCTGTAAAGCAACTAGTAACTATGTCAGATACTGGTAGTGTAGCAAAAAGTACATTTCCCTCTGAAAATTGAAATACTTTTAAAAAATATTTTTTACAAATCTAAATTATTTTAGTAACTTTCAGTTAATAAAGATGTATTTGTTTTAGTAATGTATTGTATTTATTTGTATCCTATTTATTTTTTTATTTTGTAAGTAGGTTAGAATGCTGTCATTAATACAAATGTGTTTTTTAATTTGGTCAGTAATTCAATGTTTTTTGTTTTTGTCAGTAATTAAAATGTCCTCCTCCTTTTTTTCTCAGTAATTAAAATTGTACTTTTATTTCATCAGTAATTAAAATATTGTTTTTTAACTGTCAGTTATTTATTATTAGTCAGTTCATAAAATGTTATAATTACATCAGCAATTAAAATGCTTTGTTTTTATTTTATTAATTATTGAGTGGGCGTGGCTGTGGATCTCTGGCCTCTGATTGGTCGGCACAGTGTTGCCCCAGTGCAGTGTCTGCGAGAAAGGGTCGTGTTCATTTCAGAAGTCATCATGGCGCTCGCTCCGCCAGTCAAAGGTAAATATCTTCTTCTAACCTTACCTTACCTAAGCAGTCGTCCTTTCACCCGATTACCGTCAAAGACAGGAATCGATTAAACAACAAATCATCCTTCCGATCAAGATGGCTGTCGTTAGCTTTTAGTGATCATTACATAAAGTAAACTGTTGGAGACATTGATGCTAACATTAGCTTGTTTGCTTTACAAATAGAGCCGTTAATGTCGCCAACTTCGCTAGCTATAGGTGTCTTTAATGTGCTAAAAACGACACAAATGTAGTAAACGTTCTACCTATTTCTGTGTTTAATTGCCTTGCTTTTTCTTATCTTGTCAATACGTACAGCCAGAAGCCCGATAAGTGGCTGGTTAGCGAGTGTGCTTCACGATAAGAGCTAGCTTTGTAGCTGTCTTTAATACCGTGTCAGTAACAGATGAAGAGATGTTCTCAGACGTCACCTCTAATAATATAAGCAACACTTGATCTTGTATGTGCAATGTCTGATTTGACTGGTATATTAGTCACAGGGACATTGTGCAAAGAACAAGAGGATTGCTTTTAAATTCAGAGCACAATGGATGTGTTGAATGTAGGATTATAGGCCATGATTATGATATTTTCTGATGAGACAAACATCCAAAGAGTCATCTTTAAGGTATGTAAGCTATCCAATACCAGTGGATTACAGCAGGCTAAACTGCTTCTCTCAATGATTTATCTCCACATGATCTCGCTTGTCATGTTTCTTAAAGTTATTAAAAAACAACTTTTACATTGGCATTTCTATATACTTATATTAGTGCATGGCTGTTATGTGCTCACCTTTCACTACAGTTAATCTAAAAGGTTTATGTGTGGGACAGCCAGTTCTAACATAAACAGATGTCAGGGTTTGACAGGGGTGGAATATTTATTATGTACATGTATTTTATTCAGTTGTGAAAACCTACTGACATGTTACCTTGTTTTCAATAGTTGAACATGTCCTCCGTACTTGTTAAATTCATGATTTAAATCACATGTGTCAAACTCAAGGCCCGGGGGCCAAATCAGGCTCTTGGTGGATTTAATTTCGGCCCGCAGGATAATTTCTAATTACTATTAGGTCTGGCCCGCCGGTATATTGCACGCACACCTTCACTCAATCCTGAGGATCTCCTCAGCTCAGAGCCTGAGCCCAAACATTGATGACCTTGCAGCCAAGATGAGATGCCAAGTGTCTGGCTTGAACTAGCATCACAGAGCAGCACACTGAGTTTAATGGATGTTTCCTTCTGCACTTTTTACTCTCACAACAACAGGGCATGTTTGGTTTTCTCTTTGAGGGAAATTGATTATTTAATGTTGCTTTTATAGGCAATAATTTAAGCTTTGTTAGTTCTAGGTTTAATATGTGCAATAAGTTTTGCAATAAACATTGAACCAGTCCGGCCCTCGACTAGTACCCATCTTTTTATTTTGGCCTTCTGTGTATTTGAGTTAAATCAACCCCTGATTTAAATCAAGGATAAGATTTTGAGAAGTGGAAAAGTCATTTTCTGTTAGAAGAACATCTTTTATATGAAACTGTATTCCAGTTTTCCACTCTTCTTGCTTTGCATTACAGCTTTTAGATGTTTGCATGCAGTCTGAAAGACTAGCTGACAAAGGCATCACAGTGAGGGAGGGACATTTGTCATGCACTCAAAAAACACCAAATGAGAGTAGTCAGCAAGTTGTTTATCCGGCCAAGAGATGCCAAATGTCATATACATGGTAGAATTCCTTTTGCTAGCAAATATTTAGCCGTGGAGCTGAGAACAGAAACACTTATTAAGTCATTATTTGGGTATTAAAAGCTTTGTTTCTAAACTGGTTCAGGCCTGCTTAGTTCAATTGAGCTTAAATACATACTTTGTTTTTTTTGCCTTTTTCTCCGTCAGCAGTGACAATGCTCTTTCTGCAGTTCTACACAGCTAATCATTTTTTTTGTTAAAGAGGAAATATTTCAGATTTAGAAGATATGAAACTCAATATTCGTGTTATTCACAACACTTATTCATAGATTTGTACGACTTTACGAAACCAGTTCTGTGAGATGGCGGCTCACACCTTTTCCACACGTTTCATATTTGAATGCCCTCATGTCAAAGTGCATGGGTGTATTATTGTTTTTGAGGACATTTCTTCTTCAGAGTACATCAGGATTTGGGAAAACAAACATGCATTGTGTTTCTTTAACCAAAGCAATATACAGTTATTTTACACAATATTTCACTAATAATTCATTGGGAAAGCTTAGTGTGTGCTTTCATAGCCAGTCACCTGAGAGGCACAGTTACACAGGATGTCCTGTTGTGTGAGAGCAGAGTTCTGCTGTGCATCCAAAGATGACTGTCCATAGGGGCTCAGCGCTGGCGTAGCTTACTTTTTATACAGCAAGGAAAAAAGTATGAACAATAAACATTTTCAGCCTCCTTTGGGGTGAACGTAACCACATCTTGCTTTAAAAGCCACAAAAGAAGAAATCACATTTCTCTGCTTTTACGTTTTGCCCCAAAGGCATTCATCCTTTCTAAGAAGCTTAACTATAGTACACTCAAAGTGTTGCTATTCTCAGCTACTTATAACCACTAATACGCTGTGGTATGTAAGTAATGAGTCAATTCTATGGATGAACAAACTGGAAATAAGGCTTTCTTATAACGTATAAAAGTTAGCGCTGAGCTTCAGTCTGCAATGTGCAAAACAACAGATAAAGCCAGAAATCTAGGTGTAGTCATGGACTTTGACCTGAGTTTCAACAGTCACATTAAAACAGTTACTAAATCAGCCTACTATCACCTAAAGAATATATCTAGGATTAAAAGACTAATGTCACAGCAGGATTAGGAAAAGCTTGTCCATGCTTTTATCTTCAGTAGACTGGACTACTGCAATGGTGTCTTCACAGGTCTCACTAAAACATCTATTAGAAAGCTGCAGCTGATTCAGAACGCTGCTGCTCGAGTCCTCAGTGACACTAAGAGAGTGGATCACATCACTCCTGTTCTGAAGTCTTTACACTGGCTTCCTGTGTGTCAAAGAATAGATTTCAAAATACTGCTGCTGGTTTATAAAGCACTGAATGGTTTAGGCCCAAAATACATTTCTGACCTCCTGCTAAATGATGAACCATCCAGATCTCTCAGGTCTTCAGGGACAGGTCAGCTTTCTGTCCCCAGAGTCAGAACTAAACATGGAGAAGTTCAGTTGTTATGCTCCAAATACCTGGAACAAGCTACCGGAAACCTGCCGGNACATCTACTTTGCTGAGAGTATAATCCCACAACTGCACATCGGTCAACTGACCATTGAATTCTGAAAAATCCATCACAGGCTCACCTGACGACACCCACTGAACACACACACACACACACACACACACACACACACACACACACACACACACACACACACACACACACACACACACACACACACACACACACACACACACACACAGAGAGACACAAGTAGATTATATTAGAGGCCATGATTACAATGCTAAAACCCTTTTTCAGATATAAAAACAAGAAATATTTCAGGCTTCGTTCATCCCTTAATGTTTGTAAAAGGTTAATGTGCCATGGTTATTGTTTTTATCTAGTTCTTAAAAAGCTCTTAACCTCTTTTATAGACGGACCTGATGCAAATTGAATTTCAAATGTGCTTCTTCATAGTGAGTTGTGGTTTATTAAACTGAATATATTTTATAGAGACCTTTACATATCGGGGATACCCAATTACATTTTTAGGGTGTGTCTCCATCTTTATATGAATAATGGTTTAATATTGTCTTTTCATTCATTGTGTATGAAAATATTGTTTAAAAAAAAATAATATATACAAATAAAATAATAATATAATTCAAATATAAATAAAGGAAAGGAGGCGGAGTTAGTGGAGAAAGTCTCCCCTGGAGAAACAAGGTCCTTAAAATATGATAGCTGCAGAGAAAATATTGCCTTACGATTTATTAAAGTGCAGATTACACCTGTTTATACCGAGGGCAATCACAGCCTCCTTCTCTTTGTCGATGCCTGAGCTAATTTTTGGAAAATGGTCAGACTGCATGCCAATAATTATCTAATTAATCATGATAAATCACATATTTTAATTGTGATTAACGCTCTCTCTTTTTTTTGTTCAAATCAAATACAGTCTGATTATCTAGTTATAAAAAGGCAAAACTGGGAACATTCTCTTCAATGTGTGTGAGACTTTGTTCTCACCGGTCTAGGCAGCAGCTTCCTGATGCTGGTGTTTAAGCCGCTGAACACCTGGGCCACATGGTTCATGTTGTCCACGGTGAGGCAGACTCTGCTCCAGGCTTCTGATTTGATGCCTGGCCAAAACTTTATGTTGGGTCGAAAGATCAAAGTATGCCCACCATACGGATCCATGTCCAGATAATACTTTAGATCAGCATCTTCGACTGTGAAGCGCAGAGGGTATCTGGACTGACGAAGTGTGAAGAGTGTCGTTGGGGCGTCCGTCAGGTATCGCAGACACACGGACACATCTGGTCACAGGATGATTGTTGTTGCACATTCATTAAATAAGGAACATCATAATTACACTAATTTAAAAGTGCAGACATTTATTTCAAATGTCCACCAACTTGACGAAATCCTGCGCAGCGTTTACTTAAAATGCTGCATATACAAAACGCTGCAAATACAAAACACTGCAAATACAAAACACTGCAGATAAAAACAGAATGCAAATTTTTTTTAAAAGATCAAATTAATGCAGATAATAAAACGCTGCAGGGAGTTCCAAACACGGGAACGGAGACACTAAAAAGTGATGCAACCAGCTGGGACTGGAGCGCATGTTGACGTTCGCAAATTGTAAAGTTGGCCAACTGTGTAGGCAGAGTTATTTTTTCATAATCTTAAATCATTGTTAGCATATTTGAAATGACTAGGTTAGCTACTTTAGCTTGCTAGCTTCCAGCAGATCTGCAATGATATCTGAAGGAATCATGTGGTCACATTGTTCAAATAGACCCATTAGACCTTTTAGTTTAGTTTTCAGTGGCAGTTATAATCCGTCCTGGTCCCAGCTATGTGCATCAGTGTTATGTGTCCCCTGGTTTAAATTGTGTTTTGAGCTTTTTGCAGCGATTTTATTTTTTTAATTGCAGTGTTTTTTTTATTACTTTTTTTTTTATTTGCAGCATTTATTTTTTATTTGCATCGTTGTATTATTTGCAGCTTTTCGTTTCTGCTCCACTTTTTTAAAACGCTGCGCATATTTCCTTCAGTTGGTGTGGATGTTTCTTCGTTTTCCTGTGTTTTGGCACATATTTTTATATTTGCATCGTCTCTCTAGCGCACTTGCTTGCACCTGTCAGACACCGTAGATTACCATCAGTGGAACAAAAGAAAAGAGAAAAGAAAGACTACCGCTCTCAACGCCAAATCATAGTTCCTTAAATAAGTATTGCTTTGTTAAGGAAGAGTGCAAACATTCCAACCTATATCCATAGGGCATAAAGACATTTCCATATATATGATTTTGGAAAAAATATGTTCAACCTTAATTTTTCTTTAACATTACCTAAAACAGTATTTTTCTCCTGTGACCTGTTTTATGTTTAGAAGAAGTCAATTAAAAAGAAAATTGCCTAGAAATAAAAACATAAATACATTTGAAGAAACATTTTGGGATGCATATCCTGACACTGTGGTTCTGTTGGGCATGTAGTTTGTGAATGTACTCACCTCTAGCGTAGGGTGCTGTGGGCGGGGGGAGGGTGGGGGTGTGGTATTGGGTGGTGGTGTAGCGGCGGGTGGTGGTGTAGCGGCGGGTGGTGGTGATGGTGGTGGTGGGGCTGTATTTCCGGCTGACGGTGGACTCTGGGATATAGGGGCGCGTGGTGGGGTATCTTCGAGTTGGGTAGGGAGTGGTGGGGTATCTTCGAGTTGGGTAGGGAGTGGTATAAAACTGGGGGGGGTAGAAGGATATTCCCCCTGCAGAACTAGACAAAGTGAACATCTTCCCATTTAAATTAACCCCGGAAACTCCTATAGAAAACAAGAGGAAAATGAGTCACACAAACAAGTGGTTAGCATAGTATTACATCTGCATCTTACTCATGCATACTACACTGGTATACATTTATACAGTTTTACAGTTCTAATAAGAGCTGATTATCTCCTGGTTGCTGCACATATTAGATGGCTCAACTTGGTAGAAAACCGCTCAGCAGAATAAAGTTACACCTTCTGTTCTCGGAGACACTTTTCTACCAACTTGAGCCATCTAATCGTAGCACAAGCATAATACACTAATCAGGGTAAAAAGAAGATGGCTGCCAGTGATGCAAAGTAACTAAGTTTTGTACTTAAGTACATTTTTTAAGTACTTGCACTTTCCTCTTGTATTTCGATTTATACTACTTTTAATCCACCAAAAGCAAATATAAAACATTTTACTAAGTACATTTATTTGAGAAGATTAGTTTGCACGTTTATATTGTTATTTCAAAAATGTAATTGACTTATGAATTATAACATTATTATGGAGTATTTAATTGTTTTAACTTATTATCAGCAGCAAAATAAAAATGTTCAAATTAATGGATTCATAATTAGAATCCAATGATAAAATACATATTATTCTGAAATAGGCTCTACATAAAGAGTACTTTTGGTACTTTAAATATATTTGGATGCCAACATTTAGATTGCAGGCTTTCACTTGTATCTGAGTATGTCTACACTGTGGTATTATTACTTTTACTTAAATCTGAGTACTTCTTCCCCCAGTGATGACGGGTCATCTCAACCAAGTCATTCTGCAGCCCATCCCAAGTCATCAAATGTTATGGTTGAAACTTGTTTATTTGTAATAAAGTTTGTTGTTCAATATTGCAGATGGCTTCGAGCTAAAGTAACAAACTACGATGTTTAGCAAGTACTTGTTTGAGGACATTATTGTCATTCTTTATCATTTTACAGAAGCCAAGAGGTGTGTCAGACTGTTCCTACTGACAAAAAGGGCACTCCTTGTTCGGAAGTATGCAGCAAGGAACTTTCATACACAGGTACAACACAATCCAATCATAAGCGCTTAGGCAAATAAGCATTGTTGGCAATTGTGTTAATTACACAGCAATTTTCAGACAACATGTTCTTAAATTAACTCCAAGATGGCATATGGAGCAAGAAAAGATACTTACAAAATTAAAAGAAGCTTTTGAAATGTTTCATTGTTTGGGATTGTATTTGCACAGCAATGTATAAGATCTGAAATGAGCAGATTTATACCCACTGGTGTTATACAGTACAGGCCCGGAATGGTCATCGGAAAAAAACTGGTAGTGGCCTGGCTGGGTATAATACCCGGCCTGACTTATTGTCCCAGTCCGGCCCTGATACAGTATAATAAACCCATTGTCCCCATATATAATGAGGACTTTTTTTCCAAAATAACTTCTTGTTCTAAGACAATGCTTTGTTTTTGTACCTATCAGGTCACGTATCCCGCAAAATATAAAAAGCGTTCAAATTTCACACCAAACTAAAGCTTGGGTCTTAATTTGGAGACAAACAAACACATCCCATAAAAGTATGTCTCCCAAAACTTGCTACACCACAAACACGCACACACACACACACACACACACACACACACACACACACACACACACACACACGCACACACACATCACACACACACACACACACACACACACACGCACACACACACACACACACACACACACACACACACACACACACACACACACACACACACACACACACACACACACACACACACACACACACACACACACACACACACACACACACACACACACACACGCACGTTCTCATGTGTTCTGGGCTCATGTGCTCTTGTGTGTTTTTGTTTAATGCCCTTAACCTGCAAGGGACTGCAGATGAAAATGAACCCTTATGGCTAAATCTGGCACATTCACAGGATGTTAATTAATTTGCATTGTTCAATCTTAAATAAATAAATACAAAATAAGAACACACTTGTTATCTCACTGCTAGAGTACTTTCACTTATTATGCTGTTAGAGAAGTTACAAAAAATTTCCCTCTGAAAGAAATGGTATTTGGGTTCACTTATATAACATGCATGTAACCAGGAAGTCAATGACATGCATTACAATTGTGTGCGTGTGCGTGTCTGCGCGTGTGTGTGTGTACCTGTTTCAGGTCCTGCAGCAGTAGCTGTGAGGACCCATGCAGACAGCAGAGCCGCAGCCATGTGAAGCAGCTTCATCCTCAGAGTCTCTGCAGGGAAGTGTGTGTCCTCCTCGCTGTGTGTGTTTTTATCTGTCCCTCTGCACACACCGCAGCTTGTTTATACTTTCATTTCCTGGTTCGTACGCCAGCAGCCACTTTAAGTTTCATTTCTGTGAAGCAGTCTCCCTTCCCCCTTCTCTCCCACACTCTGGTTAAAGTTGACACTAAACAGCTCAATAACAGCCTCCATTCACACTTCATTTAGATTAACCATGGTATTTACTCAATTACTTACTGTACTAACTAAATGTTTATGTACTTTTACTGTACTTTAGAATTTCCATGCTATGCAACTTTATATTTCCTCTTAAATAAATATTATTTTGCAGTTTCAGATAATGAAAACACAATATAATTATCTAATAAATTATGATGTAATATTATAGCTATCCCAACTAAAATAATTAAACAAGTTGTAATCGAGTTTTTTTTACTTTTGGTACTTTAAGCCGTTCTCAATGTACACATGTTTTTACTTCTATTTGAGTAAGATTGGATTGCACGAGTTTCCTTGTGAAATAGTGTTTTCTGCATTAAAGCACAAGACTTTTTTCTACCACTTTTGGAACATTTGACACCAAAAAGCTCATCACAGCCTTGAATCTGCACATATATATTTACTCAAGTACTTTACTTACTACTTACCGTACCGAATACAGTTTTGTGCTTGTACTTTACATTACATAAATGCAACTTTATACTTCTTCCAAACTACAATTATTTGACAACTTTAGTTATTTTGCAATATTATCATCTAATTTAGTGGGAATGCTGATACAGCATTCCCACTATCTGTTCTTTGTTTTCTTTATTATTATTCCGCCGGGATTTTGCACCTCTTCTCCTCCTCCTGCATTGAACATCGCAGAAACTCCGTTCAAACATCAAAACGTTCAGCTCGGTCGGGAATCGATGGCTATTACTTTTCTTATTCATAACTTTCATAATTCCAGAGATACATCCCATAATTCATCACATTTTTAACATGGAAGTCAATGGAGAAACTCTTCAGACTTCAACAAATCTTCAATCTTCATGTGACTTCAACTGCTTCATTCATACTTTCATTCAGAAACCTCATTCCAACTTTAAAATGTTACAAATCTTTCTGACATTATTCGTGTAAAACAACTTTTAAATCTGATTCTTACTTTTAGAGATATTAAACATTGTTCAGACCTTGGTACAGAGGCCTTCTTCAGATTTTAACATTAACTAGAGTGCGTGATGTCACAGCTAGTGTAGGACAGCTTGAAATTTGCCTTCATATTTATTTTTTTAAACCTGCCATAATTCCCAAACCCTACATTCCTGAGACATAATTTGTCATGATTTTTCATGACAAATTATGTCTCAGGAATGTAGGGTTTGGGAATTATGGCAGGTTTAAAAAAATAAATATGAAGGCAAATTTCAAGCTGTCCTACACTAGCTGTNTTTAGTGCATTTTACAACTTTAAGGACCTAGCAAAGATCATAAGGACTATAAAATATTTCATACTGGGTAGTTTATTTAGTTCAAAAAAAAAAATCCACCGATTTACAGACGTCTCTTTCACCATGTTAGTCAATGGGGAAAAGTTGTTCTGAGCCGGGTGACGTCACGGACTGATACGGAAGTTGCAGTACCGCCGTTTGGACACAACGAATATTGGGCACAGAGTCCGGCGCACTTCCTGGGGGCTTGGGGGAGACCAGGTGCATGTTGCGAACAATTATTGTTACAGTGGATGAAGGGTGTGGGGGAGGGGTGTCTAAAGTCAAAGATGAATCTTGATTGGGCCAAATTTGACCTCGAGTCACCCAAAACATTTCTGCCGGGTCTTCCCAAACCCCAACACCAAATTACACACTTTTTTTTAAGAGACCTTTAGACTTGGCAAACATTTTCAAAATCAGTTTTGTTTTGTTTATATAGCTGTTGTGGAGGATATATAAAAAACTGGAGCGTAGTTATTATACTTCACGGGAGACCCGAACACAACATAAGGGTTAAACTGATCATGATTTTATTTTTTTTGTGGGGGGTGGGTCTGTACCAAACAAGGATTTTTTGTATTAAAGAGGTCCCTTTTGAACATTAAAGCATGTCATAGTGCAGCCCTTGTTTCTGATCAAATTGCATTGTTTGTGTATTTGTAAAAAGCTGGAAGATTATCCATGACCGCTCCAATTTGAACTTTGTGTTGCTTGTGGAGGTTAGTTGTTTAACTGCCTAACACTTCTTTAATCTTTGATGCAGCTGTGCAGGAGCAGAACTAAAATGATTTGTGATATAAATCCATAAAGATTATCATAATAATCATTATCATCAAAAGCTGTATAAATATATTTGTTCTAAATGTGGGTAAAGTTTTGTGAATCTTTAACTAACATCCCGTCCTCTCTGTTCCTGTGGTCTTCAGGTCTGGAGCGTGAAGTACAACAGCACCGGCTCAAAGATCATCTCGGCCGGAGACGACCGCTCCATCCACATCTACGACTGTCCCATGTGAGGGGGGTCCAGAGAGAGGAGCTGCAGAGGTTTACTACATCAGGGAGTGGACGCTGCTAATAGAGAGGGGGGGGTGTGGGGAGGGGCTGTACATGTGTTGGGTTTTTGCACTGGCCCACTGCGGTCAATAAAAGGGTTTCTTTTGTACTTACGTTTGCCTTGTATTTTTTGTTTTGGTTAACGGGCTGAGCTCTCCATGCAGTTATGTATTATAGCAGGATTTGTTTTGGATGGCATATCATTTTAAATGGATTATCTTGAGGTTTCAGATCAAATAGCAAATGAGTATGGAGCCTTTAAACTGTCAAATGGCAGTAAAGGAATTTTAGATTAAACAAATGACGGGGTATTAGGAAATATACAGCTTTAAACTTATCGAATCAAGTAAAAGTGTTTTTTATTTATACTCTTTAGGTTTCCTCTTTTTAGGTCTTACGCAGCGTCCACACGGCGGCATGCGTTGAAGCAACAACCAATCACATGAATCTCCCGCCCCGGACACACGAGCACGCGGTTTGATTGGCTAGAGCGAGCAAAGCGAAGGAACCACAATGCAGTTCGGCAAAGCGTGACGTCACCAATCCCCCAGGAAGTGCGCCGGACTCTGTGCCCAACATTCGTTGTGTCCAAACGGCGGTACTGCAACTTCCGTATCAGTCCGTGACGTCACCCGGCCCAAAACAACTTATTCCCATTGACTAACATTGGGAAAGAGACGTATTTAAATCAGCGGATCATTTTTCTAAAACTAAATAAACTACCCAGTATGAACTATTTTATAGCCCTTATTAGAATCATTCGGTCGTTAAAGTTGTAAAATGCACTAAAAGCCGAATCTAGATTTATTTTCTCTCCATTCATTCTAGTGAGCCGAGAGTGGGAGCTCGGGGGGCGGGGCTTAAGGGGCGCATGCTCTGTGAGCGCACATACGGGTTCTTCTGCTCCGACAGCCAGGCATGATGGGTAATCTGTGACGTTTCGCTCTCTCAAAAGTCGGGCCATTTTGTCCATAGATATGATTTTGTCATCATGGGCCAATAAGCTGCTCTCATAGGAAAGAACGAGACCCCGCCTCCCACGCTGTATCAAGTTCTTATTATACATCCATGGACGTCACCCGACATCACCCCATTCAAAGTGAATGGGAAGAAGCGTTGAAGCTTCAACGCACGCCGCCGTGTGGACGGGCCGAGAGTGCACGTTTATTCATTGGACTGTTTTGTTTTGTTTAAATTCAGACTGGATCATTTTACTATTAGCCTTTCATCATTTGTGTTGCTCCTTCATTTGAAGAAATGACTTTGGGATCCTATAAATGGAGAACATTAGAGCTGCATTAGAAATGTTTGGAGGGATCCTGTTAGAGCAGCAGTGAGATGCAGTGATGTAGAGCTCCCTCTGTGGGCCAGCAGCTGAACTGCAGCCTCAAATAACTAAAGTTGCACAAAGCACTTAACATTTATTTAAAATATAAATCTTTCATAAAGAACAGGTCATAAAACAGCTGCAGTGATTCAGAATGCTTTATTACTTTTCAACAAAGGTCCACACGTTTTGAACACACATCAAACTGCACTTTTAACAATTGTTGGATTTTAGTTTTTACACGGCAGGTGGTTGTTGAACACATGTTCACAACACAACACACTTCCTCCTTTCAGGCAAAGGTCCATTAAATGTGCTTTTCAGGAATCAATCACATCAGAATCTGGGGTCCATTAAACAAGAGTGCAGTTTGCATAACAAGAAGTTTATACAAGAGAAGAGGCGTGTAAAAGCTCACCGAGATGTTTTCTGGCAGTAATAGTCATATGGCCTGTGACGGTGAAATCTGAAGGCAACGTTAAAGTTTCGCTGATGTGTTGCCGCTGCCTTTACTCTCTCTGTGTTAGCTTTAAACGAATAGTGGCAGATTTGATCCCCAGTCATCTGAACAGTCTAAATAATCAGTAGTAGTGTCCTATGATTCCCACATCTTCAACGTTATCTAAGGCCTATAACATTAACTCTACACTTTTGCTGATACATCTATTTTCTGTCAATCTCCATTTGTTTTGTACATTCCATTTACACAAGCGGGAAAAATGAGAAGCAGAGAAGCCTGTCTGATCAACGTATCCTTAAGTAGAAGTCATCATTATACCCGCACCACCTCAAACTTCACAGACTGTTATTTAATAAATCACAAGACGCAGCTGAACACATTACAGAAAGGCTTTAGGTCTAACGATACAGAATCGAGCTAGGTTTCACTCAGATCTTGAGATATATTTTTTAATTTTCTATAGCTTACATTTCACACTTTAGCGATGTATGTATTTCTCCTGTACAATTTTTAAAGTAACTCAAACGGTGCAGCAAGTGTTCACAAGCTTAGGCTGCTTGTGAGTTGTTGAAATATGACACGGTAAAAAAAGAAAACGCCTGCTGCAGTCATACCATATTGTTAATAAACAGTATGGGAGGCATTAATCAAACAGAGACTTCGATATATGCTATACTTAAAAAAGCTAATTCTTCAGACAGTTTTTACATTTTAGGATTATTTTGTTGTGTGTTTT